TTCCCTCCCAAATGCCCTCAGTATTTTATAAAGCACTCAGCATTTCTATATATATATATATATAAACCATGACTTTTTAAGCTGCTAAATGCCAACAGATAACACTACATGTAGGCTTTGCTCAGCCCCTCTGTGCTTGCATTAGGTACACAAACAAAACTAATTGTTACTTTCTAACACACTGATGCAGTGCATACTTCCTTCCCTGCCATATTTTTCGTATGGGATATCAAAACTGTGGAGTGACTATCTAGTAATACTGAGTGATGTTTTCCACAAGCAAATCCATTTTGATAACTAGCCAATTTCCTCATATTGATGAGTCAAGACCCAATTTGTAAGTTGTTCCCTCTGAATCAACATGAAAAATGATGCAAACTTTAAATATTTTGGAAACGTCAATATCCCTTTTAAGGCATCTCTTAAACTTCTTTTTCTGTATCCATCTACACTTTTGTTTATGATAAGGTTCCCTTGTTTGGGAGTTTCCGCCACTCACTTATATGATGTGAATTGCTGCACTAAGTTAGGTCACTGCATAAGGGTAGTGCTTTTGAAGTTCTCTTTGCAGACTGTGGCCTTGGCTGCAATGGCAATACTGAATCTATCACCTAGGATGCAGTAGGTTTCTTTTCCAACCGAGATTTTTAACCTGGCTGACTTTGTGTGGCCGAATAACCAGAGAACCCAACCTCTTCCCTCTGGAAGATTCTATTGGAGAAGGAAAGGGAGAGGGACAGAAGGATGGAGACAGAGATAGAGATGGAGGGAGACAAGGAGAGAGACATAGAGGTGGGAAGAGAGAGAAGAAGAAGCAGCAGGAGGGAGGAGGAGAGTGAGGAGGCGGGCAGGAGAGGGAGAGAGGGAGGGAAGGAAGGAAAGAGAATGAGTAAGAAGGAACCTTAGCTCCCTAGGTGCCGCATTTAAGTACTAAGGGATGAGCTCTATTTTAAGTATAATCCCTACCTTTGGTTAAATGCAATCCCTACCTTTGGATAACCAACATAAACTTTTAAATACATAATCTCATGCCAAAGTCACTGAAGCACAATCAAAAAAGAATGTCTTTTGGGCACTTGGGTGGCTCGGTCAGTTAAGCGTCTGATGTCGGCTCAGGTCATGATCTCACGGTTCGTGAGTTCGAGCCCCACATCGGGCTCTGTGATGACAGCTCGGAGCCTGGAGCCTGCTTTGGATTCTGTGTGTGTGTCTCTCTCTCTTTGCTCCTCCCATGCTTATGCTCTGTTTCTCTGTCTCTCAATAATAAATAAATGTTTAAAATTTTTAAAAAATAATAGCTAACACTTACACAGCATTACCCACCTACTGTTCTAGGCATCTGACTTACTTCTTGACGTATAGTAACTAGTTTCATCTTCCAGCGTCTCAGTGAGGTGGATAATATTATTCCCATATTACAGAAGAAAAAATTGAGGCACAAAGAAGTTAGGCAATGCCCAGTGTTGCACAATTTATAAGATGAACATGAAATTTATCTTCTAAAAGGAGCCTTTTGGGAGTGGTAGGGTATGCTTTCCATAATTACACAAAATAGCAAAGAGAAACTGCGACTGGCCCAGAAAAACAAACAAACAAACAAACAAGATATTATACTCTAAAATATTAGGATTTGAATCCCAGGCCAGATTCAGAGTCCAGACTTAAGCCATCTGGAAAACTGTGGTTTTTCCCTGTTAGCCCTCATTTGCCCATTTTCTCATCCCTCCAGCATTCATCGGTGTACTTTGGCTCTCTAGTCTTTTCCTTTTACGTGCCTCCATTCTTGTCCATGATGCAACTGCTGCATCATATTAACTAACCCGAGCTTTTGTATGTGGGCCATTCACATTACCTGACATGACATTACATGACAGAGTTGCCATTCTCCAGAACCTCAATTAGGGCAAAGTGCTAAAACCTCATGATTTTCCTCAGGGACAAGGTTCAAAGCTCCACCCTGCTTTGATGAACCAAAAGCAAAACAAAAACAAACAAAAAAACCGACCTTGTGCTTTTAGAGTCTGCAAGGATTCCTTATGCTTTCTCATGAGGAGGAATTTTATGCTGCATATCCAAACTCAAAATGAAAGTTTTAAAATTGGAAAATGAAAGTGCAGCTGGTTTTGCTGCAAGGTTTATCAGTGATGAGTCACCTATTTTTATTGCATAAGAAATCAAATCTAGTGTTGTAATGAAAACACGATACAGTGAATTTAGGATAATTCTTGGAGCATTCGAGATGTGCCTATTTGTTCAGGGACACTGTGTCCTTTGTTGTTTCTTCTAAGCACTTTAATCTTCTGTAAGAAAGGTGTTTTCTCAGTTTTTGAGGAAAGATGCTCTATTTATCTAACCACCCACAATGACTGGTTTTAATGCAGCAATTACTGCAGAAACAGAGTGTAGACTATGCACTTATGCTCTGCATTTATGTTCCTTTGTCAGCACTGGACACATATTTGTATAAACTTGGCATAGTTTAAAGCATTCACTTTTAATCCTACCTCTTTGGTATTCACTTAACATCTGAGCTTTCCAGTTCCCTAAAGACTGCATCTGAGTTTTACCTAAAGGTTTTGGACACTCAAACTCAGTGAAGGAGGGAAGAGATTGAGGATTGGATTGGTCCAAGTGTCTGGTACAGGGACTGAAAGAAGGAGGAAATAAAAGTCATCTTTGAACTATTTTTGCTATATGGAAATGGGTTTTCTTGTTAATCATGTCAGGATCATGAAGAACCACAGTGTCATCTAAGGCATCTTCCTAGGTAGCTTTAAGGTAAAGATGTAATATTATAAATATTTTGTATTTTAAAGAACGTGTATACACTGATAATTTGAATACTAACATTTGAATCTCATCAGCCTATGAAGTCATATCCTTTTTTATAATGCATTTATTGAAAATATCATCTTACTTTAAGAATTACATTTCTACTAAAATCAATGAATAAGTGTTTGTTTTCATGTACTCCCTATGCTCAAGACTGCAATTTAAAGGACTTCTTGCACAAATTAAATGCTGATCCTAATTGATTTTTATATTTGTTTAATCTAGACTGTGTTCAAAAGTACAATATAACCTATATAGTCATAATTCAATAGCCAGTGTACCATTGATTGAAGAATGAGTGCATTTCATAATATGAGATGCATGCACGTTTAATTCTATCATTTTTGTATATTTAAGGACATGCCATTAGACTAGAGCTTATTCAGGATACAGTGATAGAGTTGGTAAAGAATGTGCTTCCTCCATTTGTTACTGCTTCTTTTTGGTCATTTGTTTTTTGTTTTCTATCCAAGGAATATAGTAACAGAGGAATTATTAGACTTCAGGGTTCAACAATTTATCTCTTATTTATTTTCCCTTATAACAGAAACCAATTGTGTGACAGTCAGAAACATCTTCATTTCTTTTCATCAATTTTTAGAGCAAAGAGGTGAAATAAATTTCCTCTAAATATCAAGAAAACCAAAGTGAGAGCCAAGGAATTTGGTAGTAAATGAATTTAATTTTGCAGATTAAATAAAACTTATAGGACCCTCAAGAAAGAATGTGCTACCAATTTGCTGACCTGTCCATCTATTGCAGTGGAGGATTTGGACCTTTTAGGATATGTGAACTGGTTTATTTATGGACAACAAAGACTATATTGTTTGAAAAATTAAAGAAAGCAGAATAATTATAGCTGTTATTCAAAACCAGCATGTAACATCCATAAGTAATTTATGTGTTACCCAGCACCCTCTTTCTTTCAACATTTAGTAGCAAAATCCTTTTTTAAGCTTATTATGTCAAATTACAGGCCAAATGAAATTTCATCCTATGCTGATAATGGATGTCTATAATAGCGGAAAGAGCTTTAGTAAAGTACGATAATACATAACCATTTCAATTTGGAACTAAGCCAGTGTTGCAATATATTTATACAACTAATATTGTTAAATTTCTAATTTTCATTCTCTCGATTTGAATTACAAGTTTCTTCAGAATGAAATCCACTTATGAGGAGCTGAATGGTTTCTTACTTTAGCTTACTATTGTAATGGCTGCTATAGTTTTTTTCATTATCTATTTAAATCCTCCATGAGATACCTGAAACTTTCATGTAGAACAAGTATGAACCTCTGTAAAAGTTGTACAAATTACATTTCTTAATTGAAAATGTATATAATCAATAAGTACTTAAGTATTTATAATTTTATTATGTATGTATATATGTATATATGTGTGCATATATAATTGTTAGATATAATAAAAAAAATTCAGGCATTACCAAACATATCATTCATGACTTTTTTCAATATATATTAAAATACTTATTGCAAGTAAAGACACAATTCTACACTCTAAGTATCCATTTATTACTTTCAATTATGGAGGGCGCTGTTTTAAAAAGTTTGTGTTATTAATCTACTTGATAAATATTTTTGCATATTATACTGTCTCTGTGGTTATAGCATTACTGGTGCTTTATTAGTTGGATTATGACAGTTCTGTCTTCAAGAGTAATATGCCTTTGTTTTCCATGCCTTCATGGTACCCCATTTAATCCATGAAAAATTTCTTTCAAAGATGACATTCACATGTAAATGCAGAAAATTTGTTCCGAGAACAAAGTTCAGATATAAACACAAATTTCAGTCTGTGAATCAAATGTGTTAATCAAAATGCTTAGCAAAAAACACAGTATGAACTTATAACCATTGGAATGGAAGTCAACTCTGAACAACCGCGTGGCAGTACATGCTGCTCTCAGAATACACCCCATTGACCATGTGTATGATTCCTGGGGAAAGCAATAGAAATCTAAATTGATAAGTAAAAGAATTGGCAACCTTAATGATTATTGTCTAATATTAGGAAATAAGTCTGTTTTGTAGCTCTAATTAATAGAATTTGGCTCAAAACTTTTTGAATATATTGCAAGGTGTAATTTGATCAATTTTGATTCCACTGAAAGATCTTAGTTAACATTATTACTTCTTTTCTAATAGTGGCTAGCATTCAGAAGCTTCCTGCAGCATCTGTTCTAACAGACATCAACTTCCCAATGAAAGGACGAAAGGGAATGGTTGACTGGGCAAGAAACTCAGAAGATAGGGTAGTCATTCCAAAAAGCATTTTTACTCCTGTATCATCAAAAGGTAAATATGTGACATAATTTGAGCTTTGAACAAAACATTTCTAATAAGGTTATTTAATAGTACACTAGATACAAATCTGCTTATGTTAAACAACTTAGTCTGCAATCATGGGTCTAATTTTGTAAATACAGAAGACTTACACATAGTCTTTAAATCTGAATTTACTGGTGGAAAGGACCTATTAAAATGGAAAAATGCAAATTATAGATCTGCCCTTGACATAATTAAGTCTCAGTAATGTCAGTTTTATCCCAATGTAAAGCATGTGGCATAATATTTTAATTTGAGGTATGGAAACATACCACTTTCTACAGTCATTTTTAATTTTGCTTTGGTTTGTAGTTATTATTTTGGTATGTAAAGGCAAATTTAAGAAAAAATTAAGTTTCAAGAACATCTTCAGAAGCCTCTAAAATTAATGGCTACTTTCAACAGTGACATTGTAGTCTTGATTTTTACCTTGGAGATCTTGACCATATATCTTAAACTCCAAGAGAAAGTTGTCTCTGAAGCTCCTTAGCTGCACCTACAGCTGCCTCTGGTCTCAGCCTGGTGAAGAAAGGTTACTTCATAAGACACAAAGCCACTGAAAACACATCTTTTAGAGCTACCATTAATATGTATGGTGTGTGGGCTTATCTGCCCCATGCATGGTTAAGAAAACATTTCTTCTACTCGGCTTTGCATCAGCAAGTACTGGAATCCCCTAGTAATGAGCAGATTAAAGTTTTATAAGACAGTATTTTTCTTGTTGTTTCACTAATATTTTTAATTTCATTCTTTCTAGAATTAGATGAATCATCGGTATTTGTTCTTGGAGCAGTCCTATACAAAAACTTAGATCTAATTTTGCCCACTTTGAGGTAAGCTACGAAGTAATAAGCTGTTATAATCTTTGTAAATTATTCCAAAAATGTGATTATAGCCCATTCTATGAAAATAGTCAAACAAGCTTTGTTAATACAAAGAGCCTTTTCTTAAATTAAATAGAAAATACCAATTTAATGAACAGCTTATTAGCATATTATGCACTTCAAAACAACTAGAAAAGACAATTTTGGTCTCTGATTATAGCCCTGCAATTCTTTTATAACTAATCATGACTTGCCTTAAGACTGAGGGAAAAAAATAAGAAAAAGAAAAAATTGAAGTCTCTGTAATAGAATGGGTCGTTTTAAAATTAATCTGTCTTCTCTCTTTATTTGCACTTAATGGTACTGTTCATCAGCATTACATGAAATTAAAGGAGTGCCATGATGACTGGGAATGCATGCTTTGTTCTTCATTTGCACAAGATCTCAATTTGCTTCTAAATAAATATTCAATTATAGCTACATTAAGAAAAAATGCTGTTGTTCAATTAGAGAACTATTTTTGGAAGAAATCCATTGATTTCTTTCCTCCCAGACACTAAAGGAAACAATTACACATAGCAGTTCTACCAACATTAATTTATTTGCTGTATTGTCTTAACTACTTTACCTGATCTCACAGAAAACATCATTCACACCTACTTGGGTAGTGATGCTATCACTCAGGATGACCCATTTCTTTCATTTCACCCCATCTCCTTCAGGAGGTCTGAGACCAATCGTTTGTTTTTTTGTTTTGTTTTGTTTTTTGTTTTTTTTGTTTTGTTTTGTTTTGTTTTTAGTTCAACACAACAGTGAGTTGTGAGCTCTTACTCACACCCTCATGAATAAAGCTTCCACTTTTTAGGGAAGAAAGACTGAATGATCTGTACAGTTATACCTGGGGCATAACAAATAGCATTGTAAATAAACACAATTAGAGTTCAGTCCAACAGAAAAAAGCCTTGCAAGGAAGTAACTAAGTTTTCTGCAGCGGCAGTGACTAATTATGATTGTTTGGGAGAAATCTTTCCATGTGCAGCAAATTATTAGTATGTTACTTGGTGAGTCATGGAGTGCCCCTCTAGATGCAATGCAGGTTCACATTCAACCAGAAAGACAACTATGGGAAGTATAGTTTTAACTCCTTTTTCTCTGGATGGAATTTGGGCATTCTGAATTTGAATCAGTCCGTATTTCCTTTTGTTCTACCAATAACAGATTTCAAAACAAATAAGTTTTCTCTCAACTTTTCCACTGGTTTGATTAAAACACATTGGTATGCAGGATTACAGATAAAATGGATTTCTGGTTACATTGCCTCTAATTCTGTGTATGATGTTCATTTGAAAAGAAATGTGGTAAAGTTAAACGTACCCAGATACTCAAAGTTAGACCCTCATTTCCATAAGGAGTTCATTTGTATGAAGCTAATCTTTCAACAACTCTAGACTAGACACTAACTTAGAATCAGATGACTCGGGTTTTAAATTTAATTTCACATAACAAGAAATTTTTAAACTTGCCCCGGTCACTCAGCAAGTGCCTTCCTTTAGTTCAGCTGTAAAATAGAAGCACCTTAATAAATAAATAAATAAATAAATAAATAAATAAATAAATAATAAATAAATAAATAAACAAACAAACAAAATATAAGCAGCGTGATGTGCAATATCCACCCTATTTGCTGCTGAGTGATATAGTGAATGCAAGTAAAATATTCAACATAAAATGCTTTAGATAGTGAGTTACTTTTTTTCCTACAGAACTAACAAAGTTAGATTGTATTATTATTAATCATGTTTTGTATAATACCATGGAACTCACTCACTTAAATAAAGCCAGGTTATTCCATACTTCTTAAATTTATGGTCAAGGGAATTGAAATTTTATTTAGGGTAGACTACTGGGTATTTTAATGAGTGATTTAATGGATAAAGCAGGGAATTGTCCAGAGCAGTGACTCCTGTAATACCATCTGTGAAGCAAACGGATTTAGATTAATTTGGGGGCAAATCATTGAACTTTTAATATGTAAATTGTGAAGTTGAACTCAAAGGTTCTTTCTGATTTCAAAATTTCCTTGTCTTTATTGTAGTAAAATTGTAGAATTGTGCAGTTCTGATATATTCTTTAAAGTCCTCAACAACCTTTATATAACAACTCTGAATATGTATACCTATTCAGAGTTTCTATGTATAAAGTAATTAGGTAAATGACCAAAGGAAAACAATATTCACATTTAGATTCATTGACAAGAAATAATGATAATGGAACATGCAGGATTAAATGTTTGTTTAAGTACTATTTGAAGGTGAGACATTAGCATTTACTTTTCGTTTTCTTTTATTTTGTACAGTAAAATGTAACCATGAAGCATTCTCAGGCATGCTTTTTTTCCTTTCAAAAAACTATTTCAGAAAGTTGAGTTAGTAACTGTACAATTATAGATCTGCTAAGTAAGAATAAGCCTTTTAAACGACAAGAGTTATGTCTTTGTTTCAAGTCACTGAACAAACATTTACTAAGCTGCAACCCAGCTAACCTTACTGGTCTGAATTCTTTTACATCTCCTTTACTGTTGAAACTCCAGAACAATGCTTAATAAGTAACAAAGGTCCCAGAAATGTTTACTGGAATAATTAATTGTCTTATCTGATAGAATAGTCTACATAAGCCATTTTTAAAATAATTAGGTACATAGACATTTAGGGTATATACCGTACAACTATTTTAGGAGCAGAGGAATAAAATATATATATCTTGTTGTTTTACCGTATAAATTGTACTATGTGAATTGAACCCAATAGGAAAGGGAATATTTTATTTATTTATTTTTTGTTAAAGCTTATTTATTTTTGAAAGAGAGAGAAAGAGAGAGAATGAGTGGGGGAGGGGTAGAGAGAGAGAGAATGACAGAGAGAGAGAATCCCAAATAGGCTCCACACTCCACACTGAGCCTGACATGGGGCTCAATCCCACCACTGTGAGATCATGCCCTGAGCTGAAGTCAAGACTCTAACACTTAACCTACTAAGCCACCCAGATGCCGCAGGAAAGGAAATGTCTTCTTATTCATCATGAAAAAAATACTCAAATTTGCTCTTTATGTTTAGTCATCATTTACCAAATTTTCATGACACATTTTCCTGAGTGATCATTTTACTAATTATCTGTTGAAACTTTAAAAACCGCATTTCCTATACACAGAATAATGTTAGGCTTGCTGTTAAGTTTCCAGAAATTTTATATCTTGATATAATCATTTTCAAAACAATACTTTGCATAATTTCTCTCATGGGGACTAGGAAGGAGAACTTGATGTAATGTTTTGAATAGATATGATTTAGAAATTTTCCTTCACACACAGGCAGAAATAACTTTGCATCTTGACTCTTTTATTTAGAGATTTATTTTCTTCTCTTGCCCTAATATGCATTCAACTATTCTTCAAGCTATAATTTTTATTTTGCTGTTGGATTGTCTTCCTTTTACAATTAAGTAGATTCAGATTGTCCCTTCAACTAAAAGAATGTGCTCTACTCAAGTCCAAGCTAAATATGTGCTATTCTCAGCCTTCTACTTTTTATCCCTCTTTAAAATAGTTTTCTATGGTTAAAAAGCATAGAACCAGGCTAGTAGTGCTACAAGGCCCTTTAACGGTTCGTACCATCTAGAATTCCATTTCTACACATGAGAAACTAAGGTCCTTATTAGTTCAGTGACCTGTCCAAGATTATATGCCCAATAGGTGACTGACTTCACGTCTTCTCTACCCAAACCAAGACTCTTCCACTGTCTTGCTGCTTCTATGATGCTTGTATTGATTCATTTGAGCAGTACAAACTGTGTACCTCTATGTTAGTGTGAATACATATTGCTGTTCTGCAGAAAATCTTGTAAAGTCAAGGAAGAGGTGACCATGTATGAACAGACTCAAGGATACTTAAGAGTCAACTTGGTCACTCCGAACCAAGCTACTGACACCAAGGCGAGAGCCTGTTACTCTTCCCAGCCCCTCATGACCATTTTGGGGCCTGATAGATGAAAGCTGGCCAGCAAAGGACAGATGGTCTTTTGGGAGAGGCAAGGCCACCCACACACATGCCTCATTCCCTGTGTGTGGAAACTAAAAACCACTCACAGCCTGGCAAGTTCCCAAGCTGCTGGTGAGGATTTTTAACTGAAACAACCTTTTAGTGGGATGATTTGGCAATCTCAAGAGGCTTTAAAGATGCATTGTCATTGAAGCAGCCACTTCTAGGAATTTATGTTACTGAAATTATTTCTAAGGAAGAAAAAGTGTATCCAATCATATATTCAAGCTAGAGTTTAAGAAACAGTTGTAAATAATCCATTTTGTGATTCATTTAATAGGTTATGGTTTTATAGGAATTCACAATACTTTTTAATGTAGGAGTAATATGTAGTTTTCCTGTAGGACATGTGAAAAATATAGCCTGTTTAAAAAGAAGAGCATTTTAATGTAGCTATTAATATTCACGACATTGTAAAGGATCTAATTAAAATTATATGCAAATTCCACTATAGTTTAAAATGCCAGGGAAAATAAAGATGAACCAAAAGCAACAATGTTCTCATAAGCCAGTAGTGATTTGAAAATTATCTTTCAAAAAGGAAAAAAAATATTTTTCAATAATGCAAAATCACATGAATGTGATGTCAAGTGCACCAGCCTGATAAAGATAAATGATGCTGAATTTTTTTCATATTTAGAAAATGGAACTCATTTGAGTTCATATATTATAGGAATTAAAAGCAAATGGGAAAAGCAATTGAACTAAATTATATTAGAAATAATCAAAACATGAAAAACATAATTACTTTTAAACCAATACATCCTGAAGGCAATCAACCTGAAATTGTTGAGTTCTCTTAAGAGCACCTGTTCTTCAGTTTCAGGACCTAAACTTTTAATCTTGCTTCTTCATTCTGAGTTTGCAATGACATATTGTAGTTTTGTGATATCCTGTATTGTTTTATAATATCCT